TCTCTCTCTCTCTCTCTCCTCTCCTCTCCCTCCATCCATCGTCCTTCTCGCTTGTCCCCCCCCTCCCTTTTCCACCTCGTTATCTCGAGTCAAGACTCCACTTCCTTTTGCATGGTCTAGCAAACGTAAGATAATGCATAATATTATCAAAAACACATATAATAATACATGGAAAGCTATTTTATTCAGGGTTTTTTTCTAATTCTCTTTGTTGTCTGTGCTCCCCAATATTGACCTTTTGTCCCGTTCTTGCAAGAGTAGCCTATAAGAATATAATGTGAGCAATAGCCGCTAATAAGCTTCTAAAGACATCTTGCGACTGATGAAACAAGCGTGACCCTAGAAAAGCGATTTGTTTTTCTTTAGAATCACTCCATTCATATTTCCAAGGCATATCATGTACATTTACATATATAAATGAAAGTTGTTGGGGTTTAAAAAAAAAATCATTGGGAAGCAACTGGTTAAGCCATCTTTGTGAAAACTAGAAAAGACACGTAGGTTTTCAGCATTCATGTTTTGTATAGCACGGTATGGGTTTAAGACATTATCTATCTACACATCGTAGCTATACGATAGGCTGACATTAGGTTTATGTTGAAATAAATGTACCTGATTCCTTACCTCTCTCCCTACTTCCACATTGCCAGGTCCCTGAAGAAATCGGGAGAGCTTTGGAGCCAGACCAGGAGTGAACTCCTTGCGCAGTAGGCAAATATCATCGACGAGAGGCTTCACCACAGCTGCGTCTCTACTGGTATACTTGGCGGACCAACAGCGAACGAGGAAAAACTCAATCTGATAACAAAACGAGGTCCAGTGCTGGAACATCAGCATTATTTTAGCGTAAATCGATGGACGCAACGGAGTTTTCACACGAAAAAAAGAATACAACTCAGATGAAACTTGGAAAGACTGTATGTAACCTTTTCACCTGCTGTGCCAGTGCCATTTGTCTTGGAAAAGTGAGGTTAATTGTACCAAATGTGTTAACTATGTCACAAACACGAGTTCGAGGTCCAAAAGATTACAAAACACCAGCAACAATTATAAATCTTTCGACGAATTTATTATTTTCAGAATAATTGGAGAAAAAACAACCCAAACCATAAGAGCTCTGAGACAGCCTGGAAGCACAAAATACGGATTCGACATACAGCTGTGTCAGACTGAATCCCCGTGTCACTATCTCGTTATGGCATTCGTCACAATGTAGCAGGCTCGGTGAGGTGATGTCTTTATCTTGTAGATGAATAAACAGATTTTGCAAAATCAGTAATGATGTCTGTATGGTTGTTTTATGGGATCAAATACAACTGCTGTGCACGAACTGTCTTTAAAAACTTACTCAAACATAACCTAATAGGGACAATGCTCATGCTCTTGCTCATTTCCGCGCTAAGCGTGAGTAGTGCCCACTAGCCATGGGAAGCTCACCAGATAATGCGCCCAGTATGCTACATCCGCCACTCCCGAATCAGTGCCATTTTAATTCAGTTACGACTAAGATAATATAGATGTAATATTTCCGCCCCGCAATTTTTTTTGTTTGTGTGTGTGCATTCCATAATTCGCCATATCGCTTTTATCTTTGGGGCTTAGGTTCGGTGCATGCTTAACTTACTGTATTCCTGGAAGCAACAAAATCGACTGAGGCTGCCTCTCTGCGCTGGTAACCTGGTTGTCTTACTAATCTTACCAAAAAAACCCCCCAAAAAACGGCGTCTGTGGTCTCGCCGTTTAGCGCCTCGATGTCGTACACAGGAAACCCGAGTTCGGTTCCCGATTGGGAAGACATTTTTTTCAAGTATCTCGGTCTTTCTGCTGGAATGATCCTTCTCAGCCCGTGTTGACCCTGACAGTCAGCCAGTCAGGGTTGGAAGCTCGCTTCCTATTGATCTAAATTGTGTCAACTTTAAAACACCTACATCAAAAGATAATATTGATAAAGTAATAAACTTGCATTACAATACAGGGAACTTTGAACTGGGTTTAAGTGGGTGCCACATTTTTCACTCTCGGAATGTTTCGATAACAGGTCCAACAGGAGCTTGCACATATGTGAAACTTGGGGAAATGCTTTTGGACCCATTTCAACATTAATTTGTAATTGATGGACAGCCCACAGGGTCAGATGAGGGCTTTGTGTCGTTTCTCCACGACTACATGTACTTTCTAAGGCAAAAGGATTTACATCTCAGAACTTTTTATATTTGGTCATATAATGTAATCTCATTGTCTACATAAGAATTTGTCAGTAAATGCTTTCTGCCCC